GAAATTACAAAAATTTTTTTTTTGAATTAATATTAAATCTAAATTTATTTACTAAAAAAATAATATTTAACTTATAAAATAAAATAAAATTTTTTGATAGTTTCTGCTTTTTTTATTGTAAAGTATCCTATATAATCCTTTGCAATAGAAAGAAAAAAAACTGCTAGAAAAATCAATTTTACTTTTATATACCAAATGTGATTTTTTAAGTTAAAATATATTTAGAATTAGTATAATCTCATTTTTTATTTTTTAACTATTTTTTTTTCTATTGCAAAAATACTATATATAAAATATTAATTTTAATAATATAATAATTATATAAATAATATAATTTAATATTTATAACTTTTAAAAAATATTTTAAATTTATTAGAAATTATTAAATTTAAAGTTAAATTTTAAAAAAATTTATTATATAATTTTAGAATTTCCTTAAATTTATATATTTGCAAATATTTTATTATTAATAAATAATAATTAGAGATATTATTAACTTTATATATAATTTTTAGACTATGATTAAAACAATAATTAAAAGTTCATATGTAATATAATTTTGTAAGAAAAAAAAAATTTTTAATATTAATTTTATTAATAATTATAAAAATTTAAATATTATTAAATTATTGTAATTTTTTAATTACTATATTTTAATAGTTTAATTAAATTAAACTGATAAAATGAATATAGGTAAAGTTATTTAACAAGTAATAAAATATTTAGATATCAATTTTTATTAAGTTAGTTAATATTTATGAAAATACAAATAATTTTATATAAAATTACTATTTTATTTTAATTTAATAATATAATTTATAGTATTTTAATTAATAAAATAGGTATAAAAAGAAAATTTATTAATTATAGAACTATTTAAAATATTAAGCTTTATAAATAATTTAACTATTTTATATATAAAATCAATATTATTTAATAAAAGTATAATAAGTTTATTATAAAATACTTTTATTAAAAATTCTGAATTTTAATACTAATTTTAGTAATTAACTTTTTACTATAAAAGAAAAAGGTCAGGTTAATTTACTTGAACTAGAATAATAATTTTAAACTGAAGGTTAAATCATATAAATAAATCTTTAAAAAAAAGTATTATATGATATACAGTATATCTTAAATATTTATTATATAATATTTATATAAATATTTACTAATAATACTTATTATGATAAAAAATTTTCTTTTATTAAAAACAGAAATTTTCTAAAAGAGTTGTAATAAATTTCTGAATATAGATATTTTGTTTAATAATTTTTTCTAAAATATTATTATAAAAATAAATATAATACATATTATTTATTTTTAGAATTAAAATAATACTTTAATAAATTATTCTTAGATTTAAATAAGTTCAAACATGTTAAAAAATTATAATCCTTAAAAAAAATCTATTAATTCTATTAAGCAATCATTATTTAAAAGAAGTTCAATTCATAAGAGATCATAATTTTGAAATCTATTTATCTATTAAGTAATTATAATTTTTAAAAATTTCTATTGATCTTTAAAAGAATTTAATTCTGTTAAAATATTATTAGTTTAGTAGCAATAAAAGTAAATGATTCGCTTTAATTCAATATGTCAAATTAAATACAAAATTTTATCACAATTATACTTATATAAAAATATAATAAAAGATAATAATAAATGAATTGATGAGATTCTTTTATTAAATTTTTAGTTTATTTTAAAACCCTATCTTGAGTTAATTTTCAATTCAAGTAAAAATATAAAATATTTATATAAAGTAAAATACCAATAATAAAATATAATAAATAAATATAAATGATAAATATAATAATATAAAATAATTCAATTAAATAATAATAACTAATAAATATAATAAATATAAATAAAACATTTAATAGATCAACTATTTTTATTTTATCATATTTATCAACTTTGTTAAATTTGTTATTTATTTTGAATTATATAACTGATTGCTGTTAAAAACAGTGATGGCAAATGATCAGGTCATTTGATAATTTTGAAATGACCTCTAAATGACCATCAAATAACCTAGTCATTTGAGGTCATTTGTCATTTGGTCATTTAAATGTAATACAGGCCAAATTTTATATGCTGACCAGAATTACAAATTATATTACGTGAAATATTTACGAAAATTTTCGAAACATTAAATTATATTAATTATTTGGCCAGAATTTTTGAGATCATATGATATAATTTTTAAATGATCAGGTCATTTATCATTTAATGTTAAAATGACCCAAATGATACATGATCAGTCATTTGAGTCATTTGAGGTTATTTGGGTCACTTGCCATCACTGGTTAAAAATTACTACTTCAATATTATATTAAAAGAATTTATTAATCTAATAAAAAGATAGAAATCAGATAGTTGATTTAGGTTGATTTTGATTTTATTATAGCCAATTTACCATATTTTCTGATTAGCATAAATACATACTCAATATTGATTGATACTGAATAAATATAGCCTTCAGCATCAATTTAGAACTTAAATTCAACCATAAATCAGTCTAAAATTAGCACTTAATTCAGTATTAATTTGGTCAAATAAGCATATAAATTAATACATTTTATTTATTAAATTTATTAAATATTAAAATTTTATTAATAATAAATATCTAATATAAATTTGCAAAAACATAACAAAAATATTATCAAAATCCATTTACTTATTTCCTATTTAAAAAATATAAGCAAAAAATGGAAAAACCATGTAAATAATAATGTAATAATAAAAATATGATTTATTTTTTTCCCAAAAATCCTTCGAAATCGTCTAAAAATATAAAAAATAATAAATAAAATAATAAAAATAAAAAATCTATCCATTCCACCAAATCACTTGAAATTATCTTTTTTTCTATTATTGGAATAAAAAATCAGTTTATTATTTGAAAATTTAACTGGTTGGTTGATAAATTCAACTTAAATTTCGTCTGATTTTGATAGTTAGAGACGATTTTGTGATATCTAAATAAAGAAATATCCTCAAAAATTTTTTCAATCAAATTATTCACTATAAGATTTTAAAATGTACCTTCGGTAACTGGTCTTTGATTGCTTTTTCAGTTCAGAATAGGATGTTTTTCTTTACACACATATAAATATAAACAAGTAATCTGAATTGGACTATTCAATTTCTCGAGAAATTCTAGAAGTTTTTATATTCTAAAATTAAGTGAGATATCCGGTCATCGAAGAGAAATAAGTAAATGCTATTCAGCAGATGATGCCAATTTGATAAATATGTGTAGGCGTTCCTTAAAATGGAAGACTAGCTATATCTATATTAGAAGTAACAATAATTAAAATTAATAGCTCAAATAAAAAACATATTGATACTATATTGATATGCAAACTCGAAGTTGAATTGAGAGCTAACCAAGCACCATCATCGCTTTTAAAAAGCTACGTGGAATTTACTTCTTTAATCCGTTTGATTTGCCTTGTCACGCATAAAATTTTGGCATACTTCTCTATAAATTTCTCTCATTGAATTAGTGTTTTAACCGTTAATCGCATGTCCTGTATATCTAAAGAAAATTGATCTAAAATATTTTGATGAATTTCAGCTTCTCTAACAAACAAGTGCCAAAATATAATCTTCTCCTGATCATGAGATTCTCGTATTGATCTAATTTGGTTAACTAAATTATATTAGAACAAAAGAATAAAAATTCAATACAGTGTTAATCCATTATTTGAAGCAAAAAAAATTCTTTTAATGAAGATTTAAAAGTTGCCATAGTTCAGAATAAATCTATTAGTTTATGAGATAGTTGCCGGTAAAATTAACCCATTGGAATATAGTAATTCATATGATCAATAATGGGATTTTACAAGCAACGCTCTCATATAACTCGTGCTTTGTCAGAACAAGCGGCAATATACAGTTTACCTTTAAAATGATATCTGACATTGCAATAGTTTGATTTTACGCAACTGTTTAAAATTTCTCTGAAAATTCTTCTTAATATATCACCGATCTCACCATGAAGATTAATATACTCGTGAAATTTCTCGTTTGCGAGATGGTAATAGAGCTTGCGGTATACAAACCTAATCAATGTTTATTTCATTTCCGTATCTAATTGGTCTGATGTGAAATAATCATAAAATGATGAGCAGAAAAGAATGTTTAATAATGACTTTTTTGTGCAATATTACTATATTTTGCTATAAAGTTGTAAATTAATTATTCATTAAATATTTAATCTTTTATATTTTAACATAATATAAAATACAATAGAATAAATACCAGTTTTCCAATTGTCTCTTTAAAAATTAAAGATATTTTTCATGTTTTCTGTTCCATGTAATTAGTCCGGAGCGTTAGCGAAGGATATATATATATATATATATGTTTTATGTGCTTTGATGTCCCTATGTCCGCCCGCTCAAATGTTGTGTCGATACGTGGTTGGTCACTTTCGTTACACTTGTGCTCTGGACTTAACAATGGTTACCGAAACCATTCCCTAGTTTTAATTCCTATTTTATAATCTGTTACGATTAAAAAAGCTCATCCACGTGAACTAAATTTCATTCAACTATGATTAATACATCACATTAGTTTAGAATGGTAATTTAATGAGACTTAATATAAATCGCTATTTTTGTCGCATGTAAATGTGAAACCTCATTGGTTACAGAATTCTTAATATTTTCTTTGTAGTTTTGTCACGATTTGAAATGTTATTGTAATGCCATATTGCCTAAAGTAGAGAAGAGTTCTTTTTGACAACAATTAGTAACGCTTCCAATAAATCGGGAAATATTTTCCATTTGAAATTTATCCTTAAAAGGAATTTAAGAAGAAACCCATCAAAATATTTCTCTTTTTATAATTCAAAATATAATACTTATCTTTGATCTAGAACGATCCCAACTCACATTTTTATTATATATATTCGCAAATATTTTAAATATTTAACACCTCTTTAGCAGAAAACTTCTGCATTCGAAAGAGCATAAAAACAATTTTTATTCTTGATAACTATTATCCTTTTCAATAGTTGGACTTTGCATTTCAGACCTAGACTTTAATACGATCATGGCAGAAACTCTGCTTGAATGAAGAAAATCTTGTGCATTATTTTGCCGTATGTGCTTATATGTTGTCTTCTTGAAACCTTTTGCGCTTATGCTTGATAACTTTCAATGATTTCGTAAAGATTTGCCAGAACCGACGGGACAATAGGATCAAGACCAATCCATGAATAAAAGCCAGTAAAGATTCAGTCCTCTTGAAATTCTTCATCAAATTTTCTCCAACCCTACTCTTCTTGTATAAATAAGTGTCTTATGACTCAGAAAAAATTATTTTTAGACGAGGCATTCATGATCGAACGCCATCCATCTTAAACCTTTTTGGATGGTTGTATAAAGTACTTACTTCATTTTCTTAAAAAATGATAGTATACCTTTGAGACCTAATATTGAAATATTAATAAAAGAGGCAGTATTAGAAATTGAAGAATAGAATAAGAGACGAAAAGTATTATACGTAATAATAACATTATAAGAGAACCTTTTATTAGAAACCTTTTTTTTCTCCACTAACTATGGTTAAAATATTTTAAAAAATATAACTACTTGCTTGATTTAAAATTTTAGAGAATATTCATAAAAAAAAAAATTTTTTCCATCTTTAAAATTAGTGCTCGCTCATTACATATTTTTATTTAACAAAGTTAAAAAAAAGGGTAAATCATCATCGGTAAATTAATAATTTATTTAAATCACGTGTATAATAAAATAATTTTAAATGTTCGAAAATTAAATAATTATAACATCTTATGAGTATTGTCGTTAGCCAGATATTCTCGGGTACATAATATACAGGTTATGATGATCCGGATAAGGTTACTCATGTTGGACCTGGGTTAGTTATCAATTTTGTGGGGTCTAGGTGGTAGTGGCTTATCAAAGCGTGAGAGTAAAGAGGTAACGCCCGCCCTTGTTCATAACCTCAAAATTTTTTCAAAAAATTTTTATGATCTTTATCTACCTAAATATAGTTAGTTAAAAAAATTAATTCTTTTTTCAAAAGTGAAGTATATTGTTTAATAAAATTTCGAAATGATATCGTGATGCTGACACGCAGAATTTTAAACATAAAAATCGCTTATTAAATGAATATTGATTAAAAAATAAATTAGGGTAGCAGTAAGATCAAACCTATTACGCGAATTTCTCCGCCGGAGTAGAGTTCGGTGCTAAACAAGTATGTGGTGTAACTATATAGTACTCAATATTATGATTTCTTTCATATGTTATGTTACTATAACTCAAAATATAAGTTTAATTTATATTATAAAAAATAATTTTATAGAGATTTATTTTGTACATCACATATGCTCTAGTTGTTGAGAACTTTGCAAAAACTACATAAATATACGAAATTTTTATTGATAAGATGATAAAATCCTATATAAATTATTATTATATAAACATTATTTTATACATGTATGTTCGGGGTTACATTACACTGCATAAATAAATATCGAGTTATCACGTGTTATGATGTTGAGCATGGTTTGTCATAGTTTAGGGCAGGTTGACATCATAGCACGTGATATACTACCCAATATGGAAAATAATACACCCATTTGAGTGACCCGACTCTACAACTTTTTGAAGCTATATATGGGCGCTTTGCAGTAGAAAGGGAGGAAACTACCAAAAAAAATTTTTAACTCAAAAAAAAAATTTTTTGGTAGTTTCCTCCCTTTCTACTGCAAAGCGCCCATATGATTTTTAAAATAAATAAAAACCATATTTCTTTC